GCTTGGAAAGCTAAAATCAGTGCTTGTCTTTCTTTCCCCTGCCTGGCAAAAGGAGGTAAAATAATACGAATTCACACCTGCATAAAAACCTGGCTTTATCTTGCCCCCATGTGACAGTCTTTTCAGTTAATGGACAAGCACATGACGTCCGCCGACTTGGCTGCCGAAGAAAGTCGGACGTGCTCGCTATTACATGCGCTTTCTTTCATGGGAATTTTCATATTCATATTGACAAAGTGGAACGGCTCATTTGCTTTGGGAAAATGTCCAGCCAATGACCAGGTTGCAGCTAAATCCCTGAAGTCCCACCCCTGAAGAACAGCTGAGATCAGAAAAGAGAAAAAAAGTCTCCCGTGCGATCTCTCTGCATTCGGCCCACCCAGCAAACTTTAAACCTTCCCGTCTTCCTTCCCTTGCAGCTTCCTTTGCTGGGTGCAGTAGCTGCATACCCAAATCAACAATTAAATCCCCCCTTTGTTTGTGTGGCAGATGACAAATGCACGGAGGACATCTTGTGTTGCCTAGGCAGGCAGGGCACTTACTTTGATTGATGCTCAGTTGTGGAAAAAAATGAGCTGGGAAGGAATTACAATGGAGGGCCCGCAGACTGGAAGGGGATATACTAATTAGTCCTGCATTAAGCAGTCTGCTTGCATTTGGCGATGAGACGCCTTTAGGAAGGAAGTGTAGGGGTTATTGATGCAAAACAGCATGGAATGCGTTGTGCCAGGTAGCTGTACATTAGTTTTGTTAGGGAAATATAGAAGTTTGTAATTGAGAAATAAACACTTAGGCTACTGTATTTCTTTTAACACACCCCCCCCCCCCCCCCAGGTATAGTGGGTAGGCCATGCTTTCTAACTCCGCGTGATCTCACAGACAATCTGTGTAAGTCTCTCTTGCTGAAATAACTCTTCTACAGTTTTCTTTGAATGGGGAAGGTGCTAGGAAGGAAAAGAAAACTGTCACCACACCTCTACTCTCTGGCTGGTTTCTCTGAAATCCCATAGCTCCAGAGCCTTAGTCTTGCTGGTGGAGCACAACCTCAAAAGCAGAAAAGAAGTTTTCCCCGGGGCCACTTTTGAAGGTGTTAGAGAGCTGCTGATGTGACCCAGGAAGGCCCGTAGGGGTATCTCAAGACAAATTCAGCCCCTTGTATAGACAACAGGCTGGATTAAATGGGAACAAAGAAAAATGCAAAGTATGCATCTCTGTTTGGATTAGCATTGTGTATTTTTCGGCTCATAAACAGAAATGGAGTGGTAGATGGTGGCAGTGAAACCTCTCTCAGTAACCTGAGGGCCACACAGATTCTCTAGGTACCTCTAGGTAGCTGGTCATCTCCATGCTGGTACCTCCTGAGCAACGGAGAACTGGACCGATGAAAAGGTAATGAGGTGCGAGGAATTACCGACATGAATAGTTTACAATTCAAACCTGGAAATATGGATTTGATCACTCTGACCAGAGGAATCAATGAAATCGGGCTAAAAGAAATCACAGAGGTCTTTGGGCACAGTGTGAAAGAAGGAGCCCTAAGCCTTTCATGGTTTGAGAATCCCCCACCATGTTGGTATCGCTGATGTGATTCTTAGGGATTCTTTCTGCTGGAACCCTGTGAACTATCCGGCATCTCGTGGCCACCTAGGGGGAGAGAAGATGGTCCGAGTGCTTGGTTCAGTGTATCAGGTTGTTAAGTCCCAGTGCTGCTAAGTCTCCTGTTTACTTTTCTTATTCTAGAGACAAGTTTATTTATGGTTGAATAGATCCCTAGGCTAGGAAAAAAGATACAAGTGATAAAGATAGCATTTTGGGTTATCAAAGACTATTAAGTCCTTTTCTTTTTAAAGCTTTATGCATAAACTGGAGCAATAAGACAGATATAAAAATATCAGAAATGTTATCAGATGTCTAAAACCTATCTTTCATGGACAGAACCAGGAATTGTACCCATAGCTGTAGGAGGAAACCTTAAATACTTAATGCGGTTTATTTTTTAACCATCCCTTTGTTTTAGAATTCTATCTTATTCTTGAACTGATTCTATGTCACTATGACCTTCTCCTGCCAAGAAGCCACAGTTGAGGCATCCCTCCGTAATAGCCTAGGGCTTTGGACAAGCAAGATGCTGTGCTGGCTTTTTGCCTTTTCTTCCAGTGTTTACACAACCAAGACTTATTACATGCTCTGTCATTTTGTTACCGGGCTGGCTTGGGTTTCAGAATTAGGTAAACATCAGACATTCCATCACACAGTTTCAGACCCGATCTTACTTTATAATGATGTTAATGTTTATTGTACAAAGTGAGATGCATTTGTATATTTTAGCATTTTATTTCAGTCACAGAATGCAAAACCTGACATTGGAATCAGTTTGATGATTTTTGTGTGTGTGTGTGTGTGTGTGTGTGATTGAAGATATTAAGCACTACAAGAACGCTGAAATTTCAATCTGATTAGGATCAAACTTCTTCAGGATCAAAACACTCTTTTTCCTCCCCCTACAGTTTGACTAATTGTGTGCTACTTGACACTGTGGAGTTATTCCACAGCGTGATAGCTAAATATGTGAAGTGTATTTTACTATGCAGAATTATCAGCTCACGCTATTTGTTTTTCATGTGTTTCAGGTTATTAAAAGAACTCAAAATAACAGGTCGTGTGTATGAGTTAAAAGAGTGGACGCAATCATTGTTAGGGGGCTAAATCATCAAGCAACAATATCAAGGAATGAAAAATCTCCCAGAATTTAAAAGCATACCTTCTCTGTTTATTAGTGGGTGAAATACCAGAAAAATTAGGAGACCATCACAATAGTGAATGGTGGAATGGTGTATTTTCAGCACTCTCAAATTATTCTGGCTACTGAAAATGAGATAAAAGTAGATAGGAAAGAATGGCATCAAACATATTTGTTGGAGACCTTTGCTTTATGGGGAGGAATGAACTGCCCTCACTCACTGTTCCCGAGGAATTGTGTTTCTTCAAGCTGTAAATCAAATCCCAGAGAGACAGCATGATGTTCTCCAAATAATAACTGAGGATGACAAAGTATTTTTTTTGTCAGCCTCAGATTTCTGAGTTCAGACCTTAATTAAGATTCCAAAATGAGAAGGCACCACCCTCTCCCTGCACACGTGGTCTATGAAAATGTCCTAAAAGCAATAAATTCATTTTAAAAGTCTGGATCTCTGACCTATATTGTTCCAAAAATATATCTATAGCTTCCTCCAAAGATCCTGATTTTTCTCCATTATCTCTGAGTTCTCAGCAACAAAGAACCTGATGTTTCTTTTCTGGAACCAACATCATTTATTTTCCCCCCAATTAATTAAAGAGCCATCTGCTTCTGCAATCCATGACACCCATTCATTCTTAGCAACAAGTGTGCTCCCCAAGTCCCTGGTGAGCAATATCGAGGCATGGGTTCAGTGCTGGGAGTGGAAGACACTGGAGAGTGGTCTCCAAGGCTCTTGGTATACACTGGTGTATTCTGTGTATACCAGATGCATAGTATATACTGAACTCCACACTGAACTTGGTTCCGTGTCACTGTGGCTAATGCAGGACTAAAACAGTCCGAGACACTTGCACTTTGAGACTTTGGCTAGCTCACGGTCTCCATTACGCTTTTGAAGGTCTCAGTTTGAAATGAGGAAGCAATTGCAGAGGGCAGGAAAGACCTGAATTAGCTCTCCTCCACTGTGACAAGAAACAGCCACCTGGCTGTGGCTTCCTATGTGAAAGCCTCAGAGTTAAGCTGTCCCATGTCATGTGTGGCACCTTGCACGGTATGGCTATGCGTCACTTTGTGGCAGAGATATAATACATTCTGAGAAAAATGTCATTAGGCGATTTCATCACTGTGCGAACTCACAGCATGGCACGCACTTACACAACCCTAGGTGGTGTAGCTTCCCACACGCCGGGGCTATGCGCATAGCCCATTGCTCCAGGCTGCAGACCATGTTACTGTCCTGTGTACTGTGGGCGACTGTAACACAATAGTGTGTGTCTGTCTAAACACAGCTCAATACGAAGAAGGACTAGTAAGAATATATTATAATCTTTTGGAACCACCATTGTATTTGTGGTCCATTGTGAATCAAAATGTTACCTAGCACGTGGCTGTATTTAAAACCAGGGGTCAGAACTGAGCTTCCAGGCTGGTAGGGCCCTCATCTTTGCAGAGTCTACCACTTGGTCACAAAAAGAAGCTCTGGGAAGAGGACACCTCCTTCCTGCGTGGCCCACCAGCTCCGTGCTCCTGTCAGAGCCCTTCCCTGCACAGTGTACATGGCCAAGGGAGAGGGACGAGGGCCACTGCACGATGATGAAGGCGTGTGAGCTGGTACTCGGGCCCGGCCAGAACACCGCTGGTCCTGCTTTGTTTACCTGCTATGGAAGGTCTTTTGGAGTTCAGCCTGGGTCAGCCACTGGGATCAGTTTCTCTCTCCCAGGGGTGGGGGGGTTGGAGGTACCTCCTTCCCTAAAATAACCCTCTTTTCAGAAATACAGTAAAACAACACTGCCCATGGGAGCTGCTGTGTCCATGTGATGTGCTCTTCCCCCTTCCCTTAGTTTTGTGGCCAGTCAAGTAGGCCTGTTTGCATGGCCTTGGTCTATTTGAACTTATCTTCTTCCAGGTATATTTTAAAACTGAGACCACAAATTTCAGAGTGGAAGCTGTTGGATAGAAAACAGAGGGACCCAGGAGGCACTTAAGATTAAAGTTCCCCCACTACTCCATGGGGGAGAGAGTACAAACGACGCCGGAATTCTGGATGTGCGCCTGGGGATCCAGCAATCCCTCTCGGCCTGAGGTCCAGCGTTCTGTCTAATTCGAACGCACATTGAAATGATTTCTGTCTCCCTTTTTCTCACCACACACTGACAATCCTCTTAAACACCTACAGGTGAGATGAAGGGAAGGATCGGCACGGAAACCAGACAGAGGTGACACCAGCCCCGTTGCCCCCTCCCCGACAGGAGGTACTTACAGTCTAAGTGGCTGTGCCTGATACCCTCCACGTCCTCGGCGTGGATGAAGTGGTAGCATCTCTTCCCTACGATGTCTACGGGGGTCAGATCCATATAATCACTAATCCTGCAAAGAGAAGAACACAGGCTGGAGTTCAGAGGGGATGAAATTAGAGAGAGTGTCAAATAACATAGACGCAGGCCCACTGTCACGTTTTCATTATACCATGGTACCGGCGAGACGTGGGCACTTTGAGGGAAAACCCTTTATAGATAAGATTATTTTTTTAACATGTAACAGTCTTTTTCTGAAGTAAAAAATGTGCTAGATAGAGCATCTGTGTTTCAATAATTAGGTAGGTTTTTCTTTTGCTTTGGCATTAGAATGCACATTTAGACAGCATAATTCCACGAAATTATTGAGAATCAGTAACAATGCAAGATCCTCATTACAGGCCAAGATAATTCAAGGTTACATAATAAAATAAAAACATGTTATGTTTATACCAAATGATTAGAGACACCTTTCATTTAAACAGATTGGTCTTCTATTGGGTATTTCCATGAAAAAGGGCTTCAACTGCTTCTTGGCACAAAGTCCAAATTGGCATTTCAAGGGATATAATTTAAATGCTGAGACATACAGATGCCTGGGGGTATTATCTTTTTTAGTCTTAGTCATTTGGGAGCTCAGCTTTCACTCTTGGCCCTTTTAACTGGCACTTTGTGGTGGATTCCACACAGAAACTTTTAAACCGTTTCAGCAGCTCTTCCAGGCTTGTGCCCGACGGTACGTGTGTGTAAGCCTCTGTCATTGATTGTACAGATGTCGATGTCCTCAGGCGGGGCACAGAAAAACAGACCCAAATTGGAAAACATGTTGGGAGAATCTGCCTGGTTTATGGAAGCTTATCAAAAATGCTTATTACCCCTATATTACCAACTGCAGTTTCCCTGTGGTCAGTCCTAAATGGAAGGTCCATCTTCATGCATCTTCTTTCCTGGGCCTGTGTCGTTTTTCTTTTTTAATTTATGATGTACAGTCTGTGCAAATAGGAAGTGGATCTTTAGAAATGACACATTTAAGGAACAAATGAGATCACCGTTGGAGAGCTAAGGCTTCGCCTCTAAAGCGGGGAAATGAGAAAGAACAACAAAACATAACATGAAAGGAATGAAAATATACTACCCAGGGAGTGAATTTCTCAGTGTCCAGCAATTGAACTCACATTTTGGGGCCAAACTAGAATTCATGGTAAGATAAGATGAATTGCAGAAATAAACAGGAGGGTTTTCTAGGGATCCCACGGTTTTCTAGAACACAACGGGTTCATTGGTGTTTTTCTAGCATCCTTAGCCATTTTCCAAGCACAGTTTCTGCTGCTTCTCTGCAAATGAGGGAACCAGGATGTCATTAAAAGACCCTCATTGGTGTTTTTGAAATTTGCCAGCTCCTCTGCAAGCATCAGATGTGGGCTTTGCCCGAGGCCATCCCGGGGAACACAGAGCGAGGAGAAGCTTTGGTTCCTAGTTAACAATTCCCTAATTAAATAATAAACCCCTGGAAAAAGCCAATCCGTTCTTTAGGGAAGGCATTGCTTTAGTTTCTTCTTTATTTGAATTAAATCCTTCAAAATGATTGAAGTCCTTCTCTGTGCGGAGCCTGTTCCTGTGGTGAACATGACCAGTCTTGTGTTTGAGGGTCTCTTAATGTCTGTGTAGCAAGCACCAGACCAGTGGTGACTTGTGTTAGGATCAGAATCCTGGTGGCATCTTCCACTCTGAGCCTCAGTTTCCTCATCTGTACAAGAATCTAAGAGGTGAGTGAGGTGATTCATGAGCGGAATGAAGTAACCTAGCATAGCGCCTGGTACATAGTATGTTTTTTCCTCAGATCAAATATGCAATTACCTCTAATACAGGCCTTTTTCATAATTACAATCATCTTCAGGTGGGAAATCGTACATTGTATTGGCTAATAGGGGGTTGTGGAAAGCCTTTTTTTTTTAATAGCAAGAAAAACACTAAAAGCAGGTCACAGAAAATGATCTCAATTACGAGAGTGGCACCAGGAAGCACTCAGGTCCATGGAGCTTGTCAAAAGAATTAATGAGTTGATCACAGGAATGAAAATGAAGTGATGTTTTGGGATAGGACAATCACTGGAAGTTGGTGAGTAGGATGTGCCTGTTCTTCTGAGTGATGAAGGTAGAAATTCTAAGTCCAGTGAGCTGATGTTTGTTTTCAAAGAAGCAAAGCCACCGTCCTCCTCTGACTTTGTGTCAGCCTCCCTCTGTTGGGTCTCCGTCTCCAGCACTCTGCATTATCACTCAGCGAATAAGCAGTGTTGTGGCCACACCTGTGCTCTTTCGTGGGTGCGTACGTATGTATGAAAAGCCCCTCTTGGAGGTTCCTCTGACCCACAGTTTGGCATTTAGCCTGAAGGAAAGCAAGAGACTTCAGGGAGACCCCGCAGGATGAAGCTAAGCGCATGTCTGGCTTTTGAATCTGGCAGATCTGGGTCTGAATGTTGGTTGAGGAAGAGCCATTCAACTTTCCTCTCAGCTGAAAGGAGAGTTTCCTCTCTACCCCCCACAGAATGTGGCATAGACGGTGAGCTTTGCACATGGCCTAGTGTCAATGAGTGTTCTTGAAATGCCAGCTGTGTTCAGGCTACTGGCTGGTTCCAGCTCATCATTCCAGCTACCTTGGCCTGCCTAATGTTCTGCAGACCTTCCAGAAGGCTCATGTATACAGCCCATGGTAAAAATTTTAATAAATGCCAACAAAACTTAAAAAGCAGATTTAGAGTTACTAATCAAATGGTAATGACAGTTAATGACATCTTCTAGCCTACTGAATACTCTAGCTCAGGTGTGGGTATCTTTTCCCACTGGTGAGTGCTTTCCTCCGAATCAGATACAGTGGGAGGTTTGTAACTCGACCTCACATCTTCAGTACACCCAGTGGGGCAGGACGTACAGGCTGCTGTCCTCCTCCTGGCGGGGCTCTGCAGAGGTGGGGTACCCCAGGCTGTGTGCATTTCTCACCGGATGGTGCTCCCAGGGCTCAGTGAGCATACCGTGCCTTTAAGCCTGATGGCAACAGTGACATCAAGCATCCTGCCTGAACTGCCCCAGGAATTCTGCTGTGGTCCCAGGGATGGGATGTCTGGCTCTGGCACCCTTCCCACGCTGCTATGTGGGCAGTTCCTCTCGGCTCCACTGCTCCCCTGTCCTCCATCATTCCCTCTTCAAATCAGTCTCATGATGGGCTGGTGACTCTAGGTGAAAGGTCTAAAGGGGCACTGTCCCATTTCTTCATCCCTTGTTTTGTGCTTAATGGAAAAAGTGAACTTTTCAACCAGAGGCTAAAAAGTCCTTTTATAAATGCTCAGACTTGAGGAAGAACTGCCAGCTCATGTATATGATGAGTCATCTTTTTCTTAATTTCCCAAAGTGAAATCCTCAGGATGACCAAGTTTTATTTAATAGCTTTGCAGATTCCTTTTTTCTCTTTCCTCTAGGGGCCTCAGATTCTCCTTGTTCTCTCCCTGCTAATGTCTACGTGAACCCTGACCATCACGAGGCTGCGCCCTTGAGTGGGTCGGAAGTGGGTCCCACTGAGGCATCAGAGGCTACATTTTCCCAATAACATCTCAACTCTGCTCTCTCCTTGGGTTCTCAGCCAAAATGGACTTTCTTTATAGCTTATGGCTGTCTGAGTCTCCCCATTCATTTAATTGTTGTCCTTAATGTCAATCAGGGCAGCAATGTAAATTTTAAATACAAACAAAGCATGCGTGGTGTCGGTCCAGGCAGCCTTTAAAAGCAAGACTGGGGTTTCTAATGAGCTTCCAGACTGCTGAGGACACAAACCCTCACCAGTGTGCTAGTGCAACAGGGTGAATGAAAACAAAAACCAAGTACCTATTTTCACAGTAAATGATATTGAGGTCCATATTTACTCGAGTGACGAACATATGGCAGTCGATTCTGACTTCATTTATCGTCGGGGGAGGCAAGGCGTGAGCCACAACCACGAGACCCATGATTTGGCTGGGGACGGTCCTCCCGTGGGACAGCGACACTCTCAGGCGTAGCCGGCCTGTTATGTGAATCACCTGTAAGAGAACATTAAGTCCAGGACACCAGTCACATTTACATTCTGGATATAACAGGATTTCTTCTAAGAAATGCAAAATGACATTGGGAACAACCACCAGTAGCTTGTGTCCTCTGTGGTCATAATGGCTGTCAGCGTGCCCTCCACCTCCTCATGGGGAGAGATGGGAAAGAACTCTTACTATACCCTGAGCATTCCTCAATGCAGGGCTATGATGGCACTGTTGCTATTACTTTTTAAGGACTCTTTCCCCCCACATTTAGGAGAAATTCATAACCAGATAAAATGACCACAAAGCTGAGCCCTGAGCTGTGAAGGAAATGTTTTCATTACGAGGTCTTGTTAATGGAAGGTGTCTGTCTCTCTCTAAGTGGGTACTCGAGTGGGACTGCACGGCCATCTCCTTTCAGAAGTGTGGCTCAGAGTGTCCCTTCATGTGGGGGTCGATATTGCAAATGGTTAAAGACTCGAATGAAGAAAAGCCTCAGCGCCATGCCACGAATGGGCTCTTTTGAGGATGGATACTTCACGTCTGGTGGCGCTGCGTTAGGAGGTGCCCTACCTGGGGGAGGGTCAGAGGACTCTGGCCTGCGATTTGTATCTCAAGCTTGGATAAAGTAGGGTCAGGCAGACTCGCACCATTTGGGTGGCAGATGGGAGGTTCCATGCCCAGAAATAGGAGGGACAACACCGGGCTGTAATTTTTAGTTTCTTAGCCAAAGTATATCATATACAGACTAGGCCACTCAGAACCCAACAAACCTTTGCGTATAAACTGCTCAGAGAAAAAGAGCCATCGTATCAGCTTCTTGAAATCATGGTTTAGGGGGAAAAAAGGGCGAAAAATTGAAGGATTTGTGCAGCTATGCTTTAGAATGAGGTTGAGTAAGGGGTGCATGTATGTGTGTGTGTGTGTGTGTGGGTACACTCTAGCTGTGTTCTAAGGACCCTGCTAAAAGGTAGAGAATCTCCCCAAACCAGGTCATAGAGGTCACTGCTGCGATTCAGTGTGCCATGCAGCTCAGTTTAGTAGCTAACTGGAGTCTCCACATTTGCTTTCCCTCTCCAAATGCATCATTGAGTGCCAAACTGTCTTTTGAGTTTCTACTTTCCCCCCTTTGCTATAGGGAACCGACGTGGGGAGTAGGTCTCCTGCCTCCCAGGAATAATATGATCTAGTGTCTGCTCTCCTTCCCAGGGGCTCAAATGGCAATTCCTTTCCCATTTGGGTTTGTTTCTCTGAAGCCATTCGGTTTTCCAGGAGCAAGCCACACCACTGTCAGTCAGGATGCAGGATCAAAGCTCGCAGGGCTGCTCTGCAGAGTCCTGGCTGTTCTAAATAATACCTCTTCCCTGTTCACCTTCACATTTGCGCCCAGAGCTGTGGATCTGGAAACAGCAACTCGAGGATTATTTAGGTTATTTCAGCAGCAGCTTTTCGACCACCCACATTTGAAGTTGACTAAATTCATACTTAATGCACCTTTGCTTTAAGCTTTGGTCAGATGAGCTACTTTATGAATATTTGAAAATGTTCCTAGAGGCAAGGATGCTAGAACACCATCACAGACACACATTTTCGCAAGACCTCATTAACTAATAAAGAAATAGCTAAAAGAAATGGGATTAACTTCACAGGAGGGGTGTTAACAGTCCCTGGTCCTCCTCCCAGCGAGGCTTACATAGATGCTCGTTTATCATTATCTGTCTTGTTTTATCAGGAACACTCAGCTTCTTGGAAAAACACAGATCTATAAATGCTCAGGAAAACACACATCCAGAAATGATATGCTAAATAAATCCCCACTTGGTATTCTGTTCCAAAGCAATTTAAAGGCGTCTGGACTGGAAAACATTTTGGGAAGGCAGACAGGCTCAGGGCGGGGAAGTGGGGTGGCATGGCAGATCCACCCTGCCTCTGCCTCTGATCCCCAGCTTTGCCAGTGCTCATCATCCTGGTGTCGGGGGGGGGGAGGTAAAATTGAGTCTAGTCAGGGTCTATACTTGCTTTCTGATTCTGTCACCCTCAGCGAGTCACTCCGCCTCTCTGTGTCTCAATTTCCTTTTCTGTGAAATGGGGCTAATAGTGACAATTCTACAGTTATGTTCTGAAAATCAAAGGAGGTAATAGAGGAGAGTACTTTATCAACTGTAAAGAATTCTACCCATTTTATTATAATGCCTCTGTTTGCCTTTAACACTAGCGACCAATAAGTAGAAGAACCAACTATTACTTTGGTGTTGATCAACAGCCTAATAAAAGACATTATTTTAAAGGATCGTAATATTTTATATTTGGAAGAAAATTTGAGAAGGCCTGTGTTAGCCCCTTCTCCCTTTCATTTTTTGTTTACGTGAGGAAAGAGGCGCCAGAAAGTTCATTCTCTATCCCATGTCACTTAACTTGAAAGTGGCAAATGGGGCTTGGCCGCCATGGTTTTAGGTCTTGTTTGAGGGTCATATCAACTTTGTTATGCCTGTGTGCAAATATTCTGTACATAGTCATTGAATGAAACGTTAGCATATGAGCCAAATGCTGATTTATTACCTTAAGTAACCTGTATCTGAATCTTTAAAAAGAGTTCATTCATAACCAGGAGCTCAGGTTATTTGAAAGTCTTTGCCATATAGCACAAACTAAAAAGATAAGGCACTAAGAAAATTACCAATGTCACAACTAAACAGTTGTCAAGAAATGTCAAAGAACCATCAGGGGGTGTGTTTGTCTGTCTGTATGTCTAGGTTTGAGGGAGGGTGGAATTGAAGAGAGGAAAGAGATAGAGACCTCTTAGATCCTACCATTCATTTTTAGGTTTAAACTAATGTATTTTTCCAAATTCATATCATGATGTCAATGAGCTTTTATTCCCCCACTTGACAGGTTATGTTCAAAGTCTAGAAACATGTCTTGATAGCATGCATCCAAACACATGGATGGCTGGATTTTCATTCTGCAGTTGCTGTTAAGCCTCAAGATGTGAAGGAAAGAGTATTGTCAAGAGGATTGGGTTCAAATCTTTGCTCTGGCACGTAACAGCCATGCAGCTATGATGCTCAGATAATTGAAATGACTTGCTTAGTTTTCAGGCCTGTTATATAAGAGTTTAAAAACCTACTACAAAGAAAAGTCCTCTGCAAAAGTTGTCTGAATAACGTCGACAAAAGGCATTCTTGGTTCTTTAGTTTCTAAGTTATATTATGTGTGAGAGATTCTATTCTGGTAGGATTAGGCTGGGGCCCAGCATTTGTTTGGGTTTTAAAGCTTCAGAGGTTATACTAGCTGCCTGAGACTATCTGGCAAGTAGGTCTGGAGTTATACCAGTGGTTCTCAACATTGGCCATGCATTGGAATCACCCAGGGAGTCTTTAAAAGTTCCCATGTCCTGGCTGTGCCTGAGAGCAGTTAAACCTGGATCTCAGGTGGTGAGGCACTGGCAGCAATGTTCACTAACATTTTAAAAGTTTTCCAGGTCTCAAGGGATGCCCAGAGGATTAAGTGAAACTGTACATGAAGTGCCTCGGTATATGCATGATGGTAGCAAGTATGTTCTATAAGAAAGGTGGGAATAAGATCCGTAGGAGTTCAGGGTAGGAAGAAAATACTTTCAGCCAAGTAAATCCAGGAGGTTACATAAACGTTGCATTACATAAACTGTTGATACAAGATATGGTCACAGAATGGTGAAAAGGTTCCCGGATATAAGAGCTAGAACAAAAGATTATAAAAGGGAACCTATTGGGAATGCCCATTGGAACTGGTATCGCAGGAGAAGAGACAGAGATGGAACCAAGGCAGTAGGTACATTTGAAATAGAGACTGGCAGTGGGACCTGAGGAGGAGAGAACATCAGAATTTTTCAGCCTGTTTCTCAGGACAATGACAACAGACTAACTGGTAATGGGAATGTGGGAACTGCTGGCCAGTGTGGGGTCAGAGATGACGTCCTGGGAAGATCCTGGAGAAGGTGTCCAGGAGATAGTAGGAAATGGAGTTGGGCACTTAAGCCATGACAGATGAAGACATAGTTCTGGAATTCTCCCCCCATCCCAGAGGTGATCGCTAAAACCAAGACATTCAATAGGATTACCAGTGGAGGAAACATAAATAAGGGAAGAATACCGAAGGCATTTTCCCTCCCTTGGAGTCCCTGAAGCCTGAGGCAATGAACGTTTCATTTTTCCCCAAATTGAGGCTCTCTTCTTCTGTAACAATTATTTTTGTTAAAAAGTGAAAATTTCTGAAAGCTCATAAACACCCCCTTTTTCCGTCCACCGTTCCATTCTGACACAGTCGCCAAGCTTGCTACACCCGGCCCGTCCCAGTGAGGGTGTGGGGCTTCCCGCATGGGTAAGTAGAGGAATGGGAAACGGCTGTGAATACAAATACACATACCTAGATTCTAATACTACGTCAAGAGCCGCAAAACTGTAAAAATAACACAGTTGCTTTAAAATGAGAGGAATCTCGCGGAGTAGAAACAACACGGTATTGGGAAAGAGAACATCTGCTACACCAGCCCTGATGCTGGTAATTTTGGCAAGTCACCCAGCTTGGCCAGGGCAGAATTTCCACAGAAATAAAATGGTGAGAAAAACCCCTACGGCTCTTGCTCAGCTCTAGAGAATTCTACAACCAAATTCTTAGTCGAATGGCCTTTCTCGTGTTGTCGGGTTACCCCTCCACCCCGTTTGTGACCTCGCAGTGGTGCAGGAGTTTCAGAAAACAGCTGCAAATTGCTAAATGCAGTTTACTTTAAGAATTAATTAACAGGGACCTTATGGGTCACATCTGAGTTGGAAAATGCTTTGCTTTTGACCAATGCCAGCTAAAAACTGCCTGTGTTCTAAAGGTTCATCTTAGTCTGGTCTTAAATCTAATCTATAGAGATTCTTCAAAAGAGCTTTCTGAACTAAAGGATTCTTTGCCCCCAAGCTCAATTTTATATAAGAGCTCTTAGCCTCACGCCTCTTCCATTGTTCTTGTTTTATCATAAAGAG